CTAGCAACAAAGAAGAGGCGGCGCCAAAAACCCCGGCAGCAATTATAATGGCAAGATTCTTGTTGCTTAACCCACCACACTTTGATAAAGGCTTCCCACACAGTCCCTTATTCCCATCAAAACTCGTGGAATCAAGATTTGTAAAGAAGGAAGGAACTGTACCAGCAAGGTCATTATTTTCCACAGAAAACTGCTTGAGCCTACCCAAACTAGAAAATTCAAAAGGAATAGACCCAGAGAGACGGTTATTAGATAGTATCAACTTATTCAAATAAGTACAGTTTGCAAGATCAGGCGGTATAGGGCCAGAAAGATCATTATTTGAGAGATCAAGAGTGACCAAGTAAGGCACCCAGGTACATATTTGAGCAGGAATCGTACCAGAGAGATAATTTGATGAAAGATCCAAGTTTTGCAGGCTTTGACAATACCGTAACGATTCAGGAACTTGTCCTGAAAGCTTCATGTCACGTAATTGGAGGTTAATTATCCTGTTCTCTCGATCATTCCAACATGAAACCCCAACAAAATTGCAGATGAATCCAACTGATGAGTTTGCAAAGTTCCATGTGGTCAGCTGCCCTCCCGGGTTATCAAGAGAGTTCTTTACACCTTGCAGGCACCTCACGTCATCTTCACCAAGAACATTAATGACACTCAACGCAACCAGAATAACAATGATGATATTTAAAGCACAAATCTTGGATGAAACCTTCATGGAGTGAAGAAAAAGAAGCTGTAATAATTTCCAAGAGTCTTTCTTTTTTTTCTTGACTTATTGAGGAAACATATTAAAATTTATCTTGGATTGAAGCTTGCGTGTTTACAAGTTGAAGATGGTCTAAAGGAAAGGGAGGTATTGACTTTGATTTGATGTTAGTATTATATTATTAGTATTATTATGTGAGTGAGAGTATAATCGTACGCCTACTCCTGCAACTTCGTTCCTCATATTTGTCGATGATGTTAGATGACGGGTGTGTGCTTTGTTCCTTGGAAGTGAACTTTTTCAAGAGAGTTTTTCAATGGTAAGTGTGTGACTGATGATTACAGCTTCTTTGACTGAACAGAGGAACTGTTTAGCGGTTAAATTAAGAATTTATTTATTTATTTTTACCAGAACAAATATATATATATATATATATATATATATATATATTGCAGTCAGCAGGTCCACAAAGGGTGGTTTCTAGTTGTAGTTTCCATTTCCTAATTAGGCAGGCAATTGAAAAAGGGCTAGTATAGTCAAATCCGGGGCCATCTATGCTTACCCTGTATTTTTACCTGTTTTTGTAGTTTTCTAACCCCTTGCTCTCTTTGTTTTTTTCCCGTTGGGGGATAGCTTGCCTTCTCACCGAATATTAGAATTGATAAAAAAAAAAAAAGTTATTTAATTTGTTAAAAACTTGATTAACAATCTGTTAATTATTTTATTTAAAAAATTAATCAAAATAATATTATTTTAAATCTTTAAAAAATAAAAGATTTTGATTAACTCTCCTAGCATGTGATCTAAACTTTATCTTGATTATATTTTAAAATTATACTTCTAAAATGATAAATTTTAGAAATAAATAAAAATAATAATTAAATTGCTTCAAACATGTGAATATTATGTCTTCTAAAGTATTTACTTTTATTAAGGATTTTTTTATCTCTTTCTTAAAAGTAGCATAATAAAAATAAAAATAAAAATAATATACTTCTAAATTTAATTAAAAAAACAATATAATTTAGCATGTTGTAAATATTATTTGTGACCTGATTCAAAAAATATGATAGAAATTATTTCTTAAGGCTCTTAACTTCTTGCCAAAAAACTAAACCAATAATTTATAATTCAACATATTTTTATAACCTTTAATTTAATTTCAACTAAATTCATAATTAAAAAAATTAATTCTCATACCAATCAAATATATCATTTAAATATATATATATAAATCAACTTATTATGTAAATAAACTTAAACCAAAATCATCCTAGTTCATAGACGGGCCTGCTTTCTCAATTTTTTTCTCTTTCTTAAAAGAAGCATAATAAAAAGAAAAAAAAATAATATACTTCTAAATTTAATTTAAAAAATAATATAATTTAGCATGTTGCAAATATTATTTGTGACCTGATTAAAAAAATATGATAGAAATTATTTCTTAAGGATAATATAATTTGACAAGTTGCAAATATTATTTATGACCTGATTTAAAAAATATGATAGAGATTGTTTCTTAAGGCTCTCAACTTCTTGCCAAAAAACATTACATATTCTTATAATCTTTAATTTAATTTAATCTAAATTCATAATTAAAAAAATTAATTCTCATTTAAATACATATAAAAATTAACTTATTATATAAATGGACTTAAACCAAAATCATTCAAGTTCATAGATGGGCCTACTTTCTCAATTTTTTTGTTTATTTTTATTTAGGATTTTTTTTTCTCTTTCTTAAAAGTAGCATAATAAAAATAAAAATAAAAATAATATACTTCTAAATTTAATTAAAGAAATGATATAATTTAGCAAGTTGCAAATATTATTTATGACCTAATTTAAAAAATATGATAGAGATTATTTCTTAAAGCTCTCAACTTCTTGTCAAAAAACATTAAATCAACAATTTATAATTTATAATTCAACATATTCTTATAACCTTTAATTTAATTTAAAATAAATTCATAATTAAAAAAATTAATTCTCATACAAATTAAATATATCATTTAAATATATACATATATAAAAATCAAGTGATTATGTAAATGGACTTCAACCAAAACCATCCAGTTCATAGGTGGGCTGCTTTCTCAATTTTTTTTTGTATCTAGAACCGATTAAAACTAAAGGTATAAGAAAATCTAAAAATAAATAAGATATATTTACCAATTTATATTCTATAAAATAAATATGGCACTCACTTATAACATATAAACATTTCTTAAGTATGTTACAAGTTTTCATTTATACCCCCTTCATTTGAAACCAACATATATAGTATCTGTCTGCCACGATTTTTTCCTGTCACATCTTGTGATATTTGGCTCGGAGATTTCTTAATAAGTTGGTAATATTATATTAAGAAGGCGTTCTTTCCTCCTAATTATGGTTTCTTTAGTTGGCCAAAAGTTGATTTGAGTGTAGTTTGGTGTGGTCAAATTAAACACCTTTGAGCTTAAGAAAGGTTAGGGAGGTTGATGAAGCTAACTAACCACATACTTAGTTGGATTTGAGGACATGACAGCAACACCTGCAAGAGATCTGGATGTCTTCACTACAAGGGGCACCAGCCATTGAAGGTGCTGTGCCCAAAGACTTAGTGCTTCGCACTATTTTGACATCACAATGATCTGTAAACCTCGACCCGAATTCATAGTTTCCCTTGTTATTTAGCTTGTTCTGATATTTCTTCAGGATTTGAATGGTTCTTCATATCGCTTGTCTTTTTGCTCAAAACACTAAAATGTTCTGTCGAATATGAAAATACCGTCTTTTTGCTCAAAACACAGCGAATAGACTAAAATGTTCTGTCGAATATGAAAATACTGCTTAAATTCTAAAAGTTAATGTCTAGATAATATTGACTTCATATTTACTGGATCCCCGATTGAAGAGAAAGGAGAGATTAAATGCTAGCAAGCTCCATTTTGACCATAAAAAACCATGAATCTTCATGTTCATCTCCGCTGAAAGGGTTTTTGCTGGTGGTACGTAGTACCAATCTCTTGTGTGATCTACAAACGAAGATCGAAATCCTAAGACTATATAGTTCACTTTTCAGTTTTTGTACGAAATTGAATAAGTTTGTGGAATGACTGCATATCAAATTGATGGAGCTGAGAATAATCTTCTCTTGTTTTATGGTCGACCTTCACTTTCAATTTTTGTTCTATTGATCTATCTATATTCAGTCTCAAACTTCCATTACACGTGTTATTCACTCAGAAAGAAGCCAGGCAACTATCTATGCTTGTGTTTTTTTTTTTTTTTAAAAAAAAGAACAATTAAAATTTTTATTTTTTTTTATTTTCAGATAATTTTATTAGATTAATATTAAAAATAATTTTTAAAAAATAATTATTATTATACTTTTAAATAATTAAATATCATGATGAATAAAAAATGAATGACTAATAATGCATTCAACGCAAGAAATTTCCAGACCATTTTGTATATAGTGATGAGAAAGGTTGTTAGGTTTGATAATTGGAACACATTGGTGCCGTTTTGTTTTTATATTTTAAAATTAATTTTAAAATAATTTAATTTTTCTAAAAGTAATATATTTTTAATATTTTTAAATTATTTTATTTTGATGTGCCGATTTTTTTAGTATTTTTAAATTATTTAATATTGATATAAAAATTTATTTTTAAAATTATTTTAATACATTTCTAAATAAAAAATACTTTAAAAAACAACTACAATCTAATTCTCAAACACCTCCTAAATCAAAATTGCAAGTAGCTGATTGCTAATCTCCCCCACATCTCATGCGATGCAAGCAGCCCTTTTTTATGGTTTCTTGAAAAAAGTATTCTCTCAATAATCACCAAAGAATCGCGCAAGACATTTGAATTCAGAGCCACATCCTTCTCCTAGCTGAGCTCGAGGAACAGTTAGTTTCATTACCACCAACATTTCCCAGAAAAAGAAACCAAGTGCATAGTCTAATATTGACTCAACATGAAAGCAGAAGCTTATTTGGAACCCTGAAAGAGACGTAAAAATATTGGCATAAATCAGAGTGCACTTCCAGCTACGCAACTATTCCTAATAGAGCGAGAGTCCTCTTCAGCAAGTTTGTTGTTATTCCACCACTTAAGGACAATACCATGCTAGTCAATTTCGAATCTGATCAGCATTCGAAAACTCCTCCATAACTTTGTTTCTTTTCTTCCATCCTGCCCTAATTACTCATATATATATATATGATCAGGTATTGGTCTTGAATTTATTATTTTGGGACCATAGAAAAAAACCAACCACTTTCAGGCCAATATCATTTAGGCAAAACATGTATATGCAGTGTCCTCAGCCATAAACATTAGTAGAAATTAGTCCCATCAGATTTCAATTTCCCTGCACATAACTAAGATCATCCACTAAAATTTACATGCTTTCAGTTCCCACTGACTGAGATATGAAATCGTCATGAATATGGAATCACGGAATTTGCACTGAATGACAAAGGCAGCATGTTATCCTAGTACGGAAAACAAAAGGAGTCATGACATCTTATCCCAGGTGGGGCATGTTTAAGAAGATACAGAGAATGTTTAAGAGAAACCAACCTAACGAGCAGCTTGAGCTAATGTCCCTAGATGACTCATTTATCAAGCTAGATTTATGTGGCTCTGGTTAATCTTCCAGCTTTTCCTCTGCTTTCCTTTTTAATTTGTTCTTCTCGCCAGAAGCGTTGTTATCAGAGCTGCTCACAGCTTCCTTCTTGTGCTTCCTCTGAAAGGTGTATTTAAGAAGCCTATTGTCTGATTGACTCGGAAACACATTAGATTCCAAGGATGATTTGGCAACTTTTATATCAGAGGGCACCGGCGGTACACTAACAGTAATTTCTTCGGATGTTTTGGCATCTTTCAAATTAGAAAATACAATTGGTACATTGATCATCTGAGCATTTGATTCATAACTTGGAACTATAGGACTCTGGTTAGAATCGAGTTCTTCTTTTTCCAATTCATCTACAAACTCCATGTCCTTGTCTGCGTCAGTTTCCTCAACGGATCCACAGAGTGCCTTTACACTAACTTCAACATTTGTAGAGCCACATATTGAATCCAAATCAACTCTAATTGGTGTTAAAACGGGACCCAAGCTAGGTAGTGGCTTCAGCTTGACATCATTTTCAGTTATCTTTGACTGGTCTTCGTCAGATTTAACATTACCATGGAGCAAAAATGAGTAATTCTTGCAAGGAGTGAGAACAAAAGGTTTTTGACAAATTTCAGAGTGTTGAATCGAAGGGGACGAGGTCGAGGAAGAGCCAGAAGTTGTAATTCGTTCTGTTCTTGGTCTTTTCCCTTCAGGAACAATCATTTCAGCAGTAAGGCAGTCATTTGTTTCCAGCAATTCTTCTTCCAGCTCAATGGGATTCTTCTTCATATCCTGATTGCTAGGCTTGACAGGGGGTGAGGTGCACAAATGTTGATCAGATTTAACAGTGCCATTTACTGAGTTTATCTTACGACGAGAAACTATAGAAGGTGGTTGATAAGGTTTTCTGACAATGGGACAAGACTTGCGCTTAGCTTTGGCTTTTGCAAACCTCCCCCTTTTCTGTCTTGATGAGCAAACCTTGACATGGTTTCTTACTTCTTCCCCTGAAAAGTTCATTTTCCTCACGTTCTTAGTCTTAGGAGAAGTTTCAGTACATTTACCTTCATCCCCATTACTTGCTTTGACAATAACCTCATTCTTTACGAGTGATTGCTGCTCCACTTCTACATCTGAAGGAGGCAATTTGCTAGCAAACGCATTTCCTTCAGATGCACGAATTCTCTGCGTACAACCATTTCTATACAACTCCGGCTCCTTGTTTGCCATAGTAATGGAGGCTAAGTCTGCATTACGTGAAGAATAGTTCTCCAAAGGTGAAACACTCAATTGCTGATCTTCTGTGTTGCAGCACCTATTGAAATTTCTCTGATCCAGTAGTGTACTCTTTACATTAGAAGTTGCCACAGTTTGAGGTGGCAAATTAGATAGAGAGAGTACAATGGGCTCAGATGTTAAACGTTGGTGAGAAGATTCATTTTCCTTCACAGCTTCTCCATTCGAAGGTTGGACTTGGCTGTTCCTTACCTTCTCTAGCTCATCACGTACCCAT